GACGCGGAGCCAGGCAGTGCATCGGCTTCAGCAGAATTCATGATCGAGAATGCTTACCTGCAAGCAGCTTCAAGAATATAGAGTGGCACAACGAGTCGAAATCGAATTTTTTTTCTGGTCACTGCGTACTTGCCGAATTATATGAATGAAATAGCGAATAACTACGCGAAGAAAGTTATTCGCTAAGAAAGTGCTGTGAAACATACAAAAAGAGAGCATGAAAGAGGAAAGGTAGGTGTGATAAAACGGAAGCAGTTCTTTTGCAAAAGGAGGTCATGGCTATGTGAAGAAGCAGGAGGATCAAATCAGGCTCCCCGGCGGTATCCGATAAGCTGAGTCGGAGCAGCGAGAGCAGAGTTTTCTTCACTAGGAATCCTTCGAGAAGTGAACACGGGTCCGGAGATTTTGAAGCATTTCTTAACCTGGTTCATGTAAACACGCCGAGGAGGGATTGGGGAAAGGAAATATCCGGGATCTCGAAGGTATACCCTATCCCCAACTGTGATCCTCAGAGGTGGCAACCCTGACTTATCGTTCTGCTCTTGAAGGGAGCGTTTTGCTAGGAAACTCACGGCTACGAGAAATGTCAGAAATTGTTATCTGATTGAACTTCTGAGAATTCGCTTGAAGCCGTAGACGGTGCGCGCGCGGGACTGTTGGAGGTCTTATCTGATGGAAAGGACACAAAGTCGTGAGAGCCACAAGGAGCTGCTGGCAAAGAGAAGGGATGCGGTCACGCTGGTAGAGAAGCTGTAGAAATGAGAGATCTGGAGATCTGACGAATCTTATACCCATAATCGTGTTTCTGCGAAACACCATTATGAATATAAGGTTTATCAGATATATGTTACAGATTGCGAGATCTGCCCATGTGAAACCCTGATCTTGAGTGGTTGAGACCAGCAGGGAGGCACTTGAGGCACTAGATGATGGAATGCGATGGGTCCAGAGGTGACAAGCAAGAGGAACGTGGGCGATGGGCCATCAGCTTTATGTAGGACGAAGGCGCTGTCCACTGCCTTCTTCGACCAGCCGGCTGCGACTCTTGAATACGCTTAATGAGACTAGTCATGGATACAGTGAACTAATTAATACTTACATGCGGGTTAAGTAAGGTTACACAATGAGAGAAAAAGCGGCTTCCTCTGGTCTACACCCCACCCGGTTCATGGTATCTCACTCAGGCTTTTCCTTTCCGTACAGTCAGCCTTTCTCACGAACTCTTGTATCACGATGTCAAGATGAAGAGTGGTACGCACAACGCTGAAAGATTCTTCAAAAATATCAACCGCCGATGTGTGGGACAGCGACCATGAACCGAGCCTTGAACGCCACTGTTGACGTACAGAACCGGAAATCCAGTACGGCACGTTGGTCATGGGAGGCGGTTGTTTAGCGCGGCCGCTCGGATCGGGTCGCCCATTCGACGCGGTTTTTGAGCTGAACAACTCGTTCAGGCGATTCCCTCCTGACCATCGCCCACTGCTCATCCAGATGACATACGCCCGATCGATGACGTCACCACTACTAGACGCCGAATTGTGAACCTTCTTGTACTCTCTCTACTTGCATTGATTAGCATGGTCATGAGGTTGAATCACCTGGACGAGTTGCCCGGCTCACAAGCTGCTGAAACGCGCGCGATGGGAGATCCGCGCCAACGACCTACAGCTGTTGGTCATAAAAAAATCTACCGTATAATCCTACTATATATAACGCGCTAAGTGTGTCTGTTGGTTTGTCTGTCTGTCTGTGTGTGTGTGTGTTTGACCGGAAATTCATAACTCCGGTTCCAGTGGACCTAGAGAGTTCAAATTTGGTAGGAGTACAGGGGGCAGGATAGGAACACTAATGGTGGGCGGCATGGGCGGACTCCGCCCACAGGGGGCGTGGTTTGTGCGAAATAAATGTTTGACCGGAAATTCACAACTCCGGTTCCAGTGGACCTAGAGAGTTCAAATTTGGTAGGAGTGCAGGCGGCAGGATGTGAACACCAATGGTGGGTGGCGGAGCCGGACAACGCCCACAGGGGCGGGGTTTGTG